GCGGGGGGGCTGGGGGGGTGATGGAGCGGGGCCTGGGCCGCCCCCCCGGACCCCACACCCAGGATGTGGGGCGGGGCAGGTACGTTACCCAGGAGGCGGGTCGGCAGGACTCGCTTAGACACGGCACCTCTCTGCGGGAGGAGGGGCGGCGTGGGAGGTCATAGGTCGGCCAGGACACCAGAGGGGTCTCAGGGGGACCCCACCTCAGGGGCTCTGCACCCCCACCTCCCATCCACCCCTGAGAAGCCTGGGTGATGGGGAGGACGCCATGGGAGAAAGGCGTTCCCAGTGTGCACGGCCTTTTGACTGAGGGCCGGTGGCAGGGGGTCGGGGGTCAGGGGTGAGGGGTCGGTGGGCAGGGTCACCTTCTGCCTGGGCCGGGGTGAAGACCATCTGGATGTGTATGGGCAGCAGCTTCATGGCCCGGCCGAACTGCTCCATGGCCACCTGGTCCACCTTCGGGGTCCTGGCTGTGGGGGGCCGGGGGTCAGTCCCTGAACTGGGGGAGCCGGGACCCTGCCCGGGACGAGGCAGGCAGGACACCCCGACATCTGAGGTCAGCAGAGCTCAGCCCCGCTTCCCAGGGTCGAACAGGGCTCCAGCCACCTGTCCTCCAGGTCGCTTTCCCCCTCAGCCCAGCCCCCTCCCAGGGCCATGCGGGGGTCAGGGTCCCAGGAGGACATGGCCCCTCGTCCTGGCCGTGGGAGCGTCTTCCCAGCCCGCACCTGCCGCGACCCACGGGGAGCCCTGGGGGCCCGAGGCATGTGCTCGGGAATGTCCCCCCGTCTGCTCTCGGACGTTACGGCTACAGACGTGCTCGCAGCTGACTTTGCACTGAGTCGTTGAAGCCCTCCGCCCACCAAGCCTGCAGGGTCCTGAGCCGCCGTCCACTCGCCGTCCCCATCCGTCCCGCCTGAATGTGTGTCCCCTCCCCCACCTACGTTCTGTCCCGCACAGTCATGGGACCCCTCCCCCGGGGCCCTGGGACCCCTCCCCCATGGGGCCCTGGGACCCCTCCCCCATGGGCCCTGGGACCCCTCCCCCATGGGGCCCTGG